AAAAAAAAAAAAGTTAAAAATAAATCTTTTTTATCTTTATAGAATTCAGGGGATTTTTTTTCTTTATAAAAGGAAGCAATTCTGAAAGCCCAAGTTAATGATAAAGAAATATTTACTAAATTAAATTAAATTATTCACAGAAAAAAAAATTAGCGTGAACTAAATATTTGTCAAGCAATCTTTGCAAAGAAATCAAGAAATCATGAACCGAAATTTTATTATTATCTTTATTTTATTGTTTACACTTTCTATGATCAATGCCGTTCCACATCAACTTCGTAAAAGAGAAACTAATTTTGATTCATGTCTAGTTGGTAAAGATGTTGTACCACTCACTGTAAAAATTAATCCTGACCCTCCCGTTGCTAAAAAACCCGAGAGTTTTACTGTTTCTGGTACACTAAATGATGATATCCTCGCATATAATACCGTACTTATGATTGGATTTGTTGATTCGACCGGCGCACTTTCCTTAACTGCCCCCTATTTTCAGAAATTTGTTGAACCAGTTAAAGCTGGAACTCCATTTTCTATAAATGCATCAAAAGTTCCGACACCGGTTAATCTTCCTGATGTATACATTATTAGAGTTATTGTTGGGGATCTAAATGATAACATATATGGCTGTGCATTAGCTGTAGTTGGAGAGACTTTAAGGAAGGAAGCTTATCCTATTGCTGGTTACCCTATTTCTGGTCCGATCGCAGAGCGTTCATACCCGATTTCCGAGCGTTAGTATCTTCATTATCGAACGTCATACTCCATCGCTAATGTTTTATACCTTGAAAAAAGTGATTACCATCTCTGGTTCGAATGTATTAATATCTCTAATATGAAATCTTAATTTTATTTTATTTTTTCGATAGATTTATTTTTAATTTTAACATATATAAATATATTACTTTTAATAAAAACTATTTTTAAAAAAAAGGAATTTATGATTAATTTGTAAATCTAAATCATAATGCAAAAAATAGTTTGATCTTTTTTTTTAATTGAGCGTACTGTGAACCAAGAGTGAGTTGACTTACATACACTATATCATTTTATCCAACTGAAATACTGAAATTCATGATTTTTTTGGAAATATTAAAAATTAAAATATTTGAAAGTTTACAATTATAAAATTATTTCATATGTACTTTAAATAATTTATTTTGAAATTAAAATGAATTTGAAATAATTATTTGAACAGAATTCAAGATGATCTCTATTAGATTAATAATCATATGCCTAAATTAAAGTAACTGTGTTTTTATTGATTTTTTTATAAGTCCAGAACTAAATAAATTACATAATAACTTATTCAGGAATTTTTTAAATGAAATAAATTATTAATAGCTCGCTCTTTTCGAATTCCGTGTCATTAGTATTTACGAAAAAACATAAAATTATACCAAAATCCGTATAATTGACGTAATTCATTTTAGTAATTGTTAAGTTGTCGTATCAGCTGTCAAAATACAGTACACACACTTATAATAATTAATGAATTCTTAAAAGAAAAATTTATTTCTCACGGGTGATTTCTCACCCCCTGAATTTTTTTTTTACTGTATAAAAATGACGTCTGCTGATTATTTGCTGATCATTTCCAAAAAAGGAACAACGTAATCTTTGGCGAAATTTTTTTTTTTTTTTTTTTTTAAATAAAACTTAATATAAGCTTCGTATAGCCTTCAAAATTATGATTTGTGAGCAATGTTGCCTGCTCTACAAATTTACTTAGTACCTTAAGAAAGGTTATAAATACCATTTTTGACATTTTTGACAATTTATGACTTGGGCGTGAGGAATATCGAATCTCATCAGGGTGAGGAATAAACTCCTTAAAATAGCTAAATAATAAAACTCATTTATGTTACAAAAAATTTTCATAGAGAGCTTTATAAAGGAATTTGTTACATAAATATTTCTAAATCTTATTCGGATCTCCAGTTAAAATTAAAAGTTCAATAATAATAATTATTTTGTTTAACTTTATATGGTAACTTCTTGTACAATCACAATTATACCTTGCACAAATAGTTCATGCAACATTACACGAAAGATAATCGCTTGTTTATTCTTGTATGACCACCTTACATATATATAAGCAGTTCTGCATTACCGCATACTCTGTTTGGAAAGATTCTTTATTAACCAGGAAATGATAATAAATTAATACAACCTTTAAATTATTTATCTTTTTCTCGAATAATTCCTATATATATTCAACGTTTCAGTTTAGTTTCAGAACTTTTTAACAATTCTAAACAAAAGCAAAAGTTTATCAATGACTAGTATAAAGCGCACTAGGATTACTAAAAATGTCCCATTTGACGATCTGCACAAACATTTATCCCAACAATATGAAGGTGATTTTTATTCTTTTCTCGAAAATACTGATGTTGCAACAATACCTTTAACTAAATCAGAATGTGATTATTGTGTGGACACATTATGGGAGAATTATATCAATACAGCTAAAAAAGAACGTAAGCAAGAAAATTCGTTAATTAACTATCAAGATGCTTCTATGCCTATATGGTTCAAAACATTTGGTGAAAAGCCGTTTGGTGAAAAGAGCTTATTCATTTCACTTCATGGAGGTGGTAATACTGAACCTTATATTAATGATTCACAATGGGAAAATCAAAAAAATTTATATACCATCGAGGAAGGTGTTTATTTAGTCCCTCGAGCTCCTGGTAATACTTGGGACTTATGGCATCGACCAGAAATTGATCATATGTTTGATCGAATTATCGAGAACATGGTTATTTTTGAAGGTGTTAACCCAAACAAGGTATATTTAACGGGATATTCAGCGGGTGGTGATGGTGTATATAAACTTGTTCCACGAACAGCTGATCGTTGGGCAGCTGCAAATATGAACGCAGGACATCCTAATGATGCGTCACCATTGGGTTTACGCAACACACCATTTACGATCCATGTAGGAGCCGACGATTTTGCCTACAATCGAAATAAAGTTGGACAGGAATGGGCGGAAAAACTTGCAGAGCTTCACAATGAAGATCCTAATGGTTACATTCATTGGGCAGAAATTTATGATGATATGGGACATTGGATGATGGGAAAGGAAAAGGCTGCACTAGACTGGATGGCACAGTATACTCGAAACCCGACACCTGATCGTGTAGTCTGGTGGCAAGATACTGTTACGCGGGATCGATTTTTTTGGTTGGAACTTCCAAAAGATCAAATTCGTGAATATACCAAAGTAACTGCCACGCGTGATGGTCAAAATTTCGATATTCAAACTAAAGATTATAAAAATGTGACAATTCTTTTGAACGACACTATGGTGGATATGGATTCTCCGATCAAAATTACAATGGAAGGGGAAGTTTTGTTTGAGGGTATTGTACCACGAACTATCGGTGCAATATCAAGATCATTAAAACGGCACGGAGATCCGTACTTAATATTTACCGGAGAAGTGACCGTCTGTACTGAAATACAAGAGAATCAATAATAGAAATAATTTAAAATTAACGAATAACATTATTAATTATTTAGACATTTAGGAATTCCAAAATTTATTGAAATTTGTCAAAACCAAAATTATTTGATTATTTTGTGTTGCATCATTTATTTGATTAAAATTAATTTATAACGGTCATAAATTTGAAGTAGCTAGATTTTAAAATTGTAAAATTTTATAAACCATCATAATTAATTTAATAGCTAAGTTATTTTAATATCTTAACTTTGAACACTAGCCATAAAATCTGACTTTTGAATGATAAATTATCATGATTGGTTCAGTACTAAAATCTATATTATGCTGATGACCTTATTTTTGTTACAGTAATCGTCGTTACTTCTACAAGAAAAAAAAGTTGGTTAACTTTATTATTAGACAACGGAAAGAAAAAGTATATACAGTATATATAGAATTTTGTGTGGGGGGTGGTGGTGATGCGGTGATGGTGGAGTGTGGAAGAAAATTAAATTTTTTCCATTTTGAAAATTTCTTTTTAATAATCAATTAATACCAATTACTGTAATTACAATATAATTGAAGTTTCTCCTTTGTATCTTTTAATTAATAAGAATTTTTTGGGAAATAATTATTCCAATTTTATTGATAGTGTGTGGTTATTTCATATTTATCGAGATTAGGAATGATAATTTCATATCAAAGACCGCTATTTAATTATATTAATTTTTGAAAACAAGCAAGATAAAAGGATGATTACCGTATATATATTTATTAAAAATGAAACAACGGATCTTTTTTATAATAGGAGTACAGTCAGCTCTCGATATAACGAACCCTCCGGTTTTCATATCAAAAATTTGCTATGATAGCGAAAAATTCAAAGAATTTAATTGGCTGATTCGTTATTAACAAGGGATACTTGACGTATTTGATTTGTTAAATGTCACGTGTTGGGAAATTTCGTTATAAAGCAAGTTCAAGTTGATTGTACAAAATTTGTATACTTTTATATAAAAAGATACCTCTCAACAATTTGATTATAAATACTAAAACTTCGGAGTATTTTTACAGAACTTGAATTTCTTAGCTATAAATTAGCAATCAAAGACAATGTTTAGATGGATTAACGATTATGTTTTAGCCAATTACTAAAAAATTGGAATTGTGAAATTATATTAATTGAAACTCTTTAATACCATATGACACTAGAAGTCATCTTAATTATTGATTTGAGTATTGTAGAGTACGACTCTATTTAATGATAATATTGGTCATTGATTTTCATTTAAATTTCGTTATTTTACTTCAGAGCGTAATTTCACCACTTTGATCAAATGAAATCTACTTTCTTTATTAAGTTGTTCTAGACTATTTGCTGTATGTCAATTCTTATAAGTGTAGGTATAATGGGTGTGGAGATATTTGCATTTTCATAACAGTAATTTTTCTTTTTCCAGTTTTCTAACTATAAAGTATAATTTAACCACTTTGGTTAAATGAAATCGATTATTTTATTAATTAAAAATTGTTCAACAGGTCAAAATATACTCATAATACAAATTTTTATTATATTTATCATATTTCAATTTTTGTACTTCTTGAAACTTAATACATGCCATTTAGTCACGTGATATATATATTAAGGTGTTTAATAACAAATTTTACATACCCGTTCTGTGCCTTATATAAAGGGAAATAACGTAAAGTATAAAAAAACAATCTTACGTTACATGCCTTAAATTAAGGGGAGTAACGTAGATTACATAATTTTAGCTACCTTACGTTTCACTTCTTACGTTACGCACTTAAACCAATCTACGTTACTCACTATTGATCACCGCAGTATTCCTAATGACCGACAATTATTGGATGGGGGATATTGATCTTCAACCGATATTTCTATCCCCCATCCAATAACTATAAAAAAAAAAAAATAAATACATATCGGCTGATTGGAAAAATCAAGCCAATTAATATTTAAGCTCAGTTGATGGGTTCATTATATAACTGATGGGTTACTTATCGTCATTAGCATATAAAATTATGGGGGGCTAGCTAATATCAGATATTAAATTTATATTTGTAAAAAAAATAAAAAAATTACTATCTTTAGATTCTACGCTTATGCCTATATTCACAATACAGTAGATTCGTCCTATTTTACGTACTCTATACAAAATGCAAAACGTCACCCTGAGCAAATAAACGGTTTGCGTAGTAAATGTAGTTCCTTCTTTTTTTGGATAATGCAGACAGCACTATGATAATTCTGGATATAAATAAATAAATTGATGCCGATCTCTTGTTACCTATTTACAGTATATATTTCTCGGGGGTCCTGGTAAAAAAAAAACTCGTTGACCCGGTGCGTTAAAGAATCCACGAGTGATTAACAGATGTCTACTTATCATGTGAATAACTGATACTTATAAATTGTAACAAATTAAATTTTTTTTTAATTAACAATGGTGAGAGATAATTACATGGATAACCCTTGTTAATTCTTAAATAGGAAATCGGTATATATTAGATTGGGCACATGAGTAATTATTATGTCGTACAACATGTTACAAACGCAACTACTTAAATTTTTTTTTTTTTTAAAAAAAAAAAAAAAAAAAATGTCCAAACTAAATGGAGATGTACTTAATTTAATATTTAAAGTATTTCATTCTGATAATAAAACCCTTTATTCATGTCTTTTAGTTAATAAAACCTGGTGTGAAGTAGTTATTCCGTTTTTATGGAAAGATCCTTGGAAAGATTTAATAGGAGAAAACGAAAATTTATTATTAAACGTAATCATCTCACATTTATCAGATGAATTAATAAATAATTTAAAAAGTCAAGGAGTCGATTTTTTAACAAATTCATATACTAAACCTTTATTTAATTATATTAGTTTTTGTAAGCACTTAAATTTAAATGTAATCGAAAGAATGATTAATGCGAACATTTTCATCGAAACTTCAACCGTTAAAAATGAAGTTATCAATCTTTTTATTAATGAAAATACAAAATTTACACACCTTTATATACCTCATAAATTTAATTATCAAATACATCTTATTCCTGGAACCGATCATTGCTTTTCAGAACTTGAATTTCTCAGTTGTAATACTTGTATCACTGATAATGCTTTGAATGGATTAACAGAAATATGCAAATCAATTAAAGTATTGGAACTTATTGAAGTAGTTAAAAGCAACTATGGAATTGTTAAATTAATAGAAGCTCCAAAAAGATTATTTACTATTCGTCTTATAACAGAGAACTGTAGGGTCGATGAGCCATTTTATAAAATTCTTGAAAATTCTTTTACTAAGCATGCAAATTTTATACAAGATTTTATAACGAATAAAAGTTCTATTTCAAATATTCTTTCATCTTTTGTAAATTTAAAAAGATTAGAATTGAGATGTAATAACTTTACGACTGTAGCCACATGGGATTGTTTAAAAGATTTGTCCTTACCTTTCTTACAAACTTTAAAAGCTATAAAAATTCCTTTCGATGTTTTAGCTAGTTTAATTGATAATACAAATGGATATCTTAATGAAATAAGCATTAGTTATGTGCATAATGATGAGTTTAGTAATAAGAGAATTATTCAGGCTATTTATAAAAATTGTCCAAACCTTAAATATCTTAAATTATTGTTTAGGAGTAGTAATATTTTGGAATTAGAAAATTTATTGACAAGGTGTCAATATTTAGATGGATTATTTTTAATTACTGATATGTATTTATATAACGATTATATACTATTTGAAAACTTATTTGAAGTATTGGCTAGATCATCACCAACTAATTTATTTAAATTTAAAATCTATATTAATAAAACACCAAAGTTGGAATCATTAAAATTGTTCTTTGATAATTGGAAAGGTAGACACCCTATGTTATTACAAACCATTCAATATAATAAGCATTGGGATGAACCTTTTGATTTGATAGAAAAATATAAAGTAGAAGGAATTATTAAAAAATATGATCATGTTTTGAATGAATCTATTTTTGAAGATTTTAAGTGGATTGAACAAAAATTTTAATCATTTATAATTATATATATGAAAATTTTTTAATTAATACTAAATTTTATTAGGCATAAATAAACAACATTTAATTATTCATTAAAATAAATAAATAAAAAATTTATTAAAATTAAATTACATAAATTACATAATAAAGAAAAAACATATATTTATAAAGATAAATACAACTAATATTTGTCAACTTAAAAGATAAATTTACATAATACATAAAATTATTATGCAGCCTATTCGCAATATATAACATTTCTTATTTAAAACATGAATATAAAAATCCTAATAATACAAGTAATACATAAACCTAGAATATATAAAAACGTCAATTACTAGTTTTGTAAATTAAATGTTTTGTTTCTTAAATCCTATTCAAAATCCTTGAAAAGTCCAAACATCATGTTTATATTTTTTAATAATTCCATTTGTTTTACATTCATCTACTAAATCTAAATATCTATAATCCCAATTCAATAAATTTACGCCATCACTATTAACTTGTAAAGTTTGTAATGATAAGGAATGTCTATCTTTCCAATTATCAAAAAAAATTTTTAAAGATTCCAATGTAGGTGCCTCATCAAATTGTAGTTTAATCTTAAACAAACTAATTGGTGATGATTTAGTCAAAACTTCGAATAAATAACCCCAATCAAATAAATCACCTCCGTAATAATAAGAATTATCAATAATAATATATAACCTACTTAAACCTTGACAATTGATTAACAAATTTTCCAATTCTAAAATATTACTATTTCTAAATAATAATTTAAGATATTTCAAGTTTGGACAATTTCGATAAATAGCCTGAATAATTTTTTTATTATGAATCTCACAATGAGATACTTCTTCAATTTTTATTTTAATAAGATTGTTATTTGTATTTTTAATTATATTTGTTAAAACTTCGACCGGAATACGTTGAGCTTTCAAAATTTGTAAGAAGGGTAGAGATAAATTCTCTAAATAATTCCATGTCATATTAGTACCACCGTAAATTTTCAATTCTAACCTATTTAAATTTACGAGAGATGAAATAATTTTTGTGACGGGTTGTTTAGTAATATAAAAATGCCGTATAAAATTTGAATGTTTATTCAACGAATTTTCAAGAACTTTACAAAAAAGTTCATCATATTTATAATAGCTGTCAACTAGAAGGCGAACATTAAATAACTTTTTTGTAGCCTCGATTAATTTAATAATTCCGTAATTGTTATTATCTTCTTTGACAACCAGTTCTATTTCTTTAATTGATTTGCACATTTCTGTTAATCCACTTAAAACATTGTCATTGATGCTAGTATTACAGCTGAGAAATTTAAGATTTGAAAAGCATAGATTGGCTCCAGGAATAAGATGTATAGGATAATCAAATTGATTTGGTATATAAAGGTGTGTTAATCTAGTATTTTCGTTAATAAATAGATTATATATTTCTTTTTTAACATCATTATTATGATTGATAATATTAAACATTTCATTTAAATTACGTAAATTTAAGTATTTACAAAAACTAACATAATTGAATAAAGGTTTGGTGTATGAATTTGTCAAAATATCAACTTTTAGACTCTTTAAATTATTTCTTGACGCATCCGATAAGTGTGAAATAATTATGTTTATAAATAATAACTTCTTTTTTTGTTGATTTCCTTTCAAATATTTCCAAGGATTTTTCCATAAAATTGGAATGATTATTTCGCACCAAGTTTTATTAACTGTAAGGCATAGATAAAGGGTTTTTCTATCATCTTCCAGTTCTTTTAATACCAAATAAAGAACATCTTCGTTTAAGTAGAACATTTTTTTTTTTTTGATTGACATGTAATCTTATTAAAATATGAAACACGGCGCGTCAAGGTGTTTAATAAAGAAGTAAATTTGATTGTTCATATGACACAAAACATGAAATATGGCGTCAAGGTGTTTAATAAAGAGGTAAATTTGATTGTTCATATAATCATATGACACAATGTTTATATTTTGCCAAAATTCCCATCATCTGTACTACTATACCATAATTGATCAACAATAACTTGTGCGAAATTTAGCAATGTGTAACATATGAAGAGGTGAAATATTATATGCCCTTAGTTCACGTAATAATTTTGGCGTTCGTTTATTTATCACATGATTACAATATGTTGTCACACAAGATGTTATTACATCACATCGCCGCTTTATAAATATCCATCACATGACGATTTTATTGCAGGAGGTTAATCATTTCTGTATCACCTTACATGCTTCAATACATGCATTGGATAAAATTTTGGACGAATTTCATACGAAATTATAAATATTTTTATAATAATAGTTATCAAAAGATGAAGTAGTTCAAAACATAGCAATTCATAATTTATTATGTAAAAATCAATTACAATTTATGAACAACTACTAATTACTTTCTTAAATCCTAATCAAAATTTTTAAAGGAAATTATGATCATATTCCCTAATGTCTATTATTTTTCCATTAAATCCCAAATGATTCTATAATTATTATAATCCTCTTCTACAATAAGTTCTAATTTTTTAATTGATCTACATATCTCTGTTAATCCAACTACAACATTATCATTGATGCTAGTATTACAGCTGAGAAATTTAAGATTCGTAAAGCATAGATTGGCTCCAGGAATAAGATGTATAGGATAATCAAATTGATAGGGTGTGTTAATCTAGTATTTTCGTTAATAAAAAGATTAAATATTTCTTTTATAATAATTGAAGATGAAGATTCTTTATTAATATAATCATTTATATTGATTATTTCATTTAAATCATCTAAATTTAAGTATCTATCTACAAAAACTTATGTAATTAAATAAAGGTTTTTGATAAGAACTTGTCAAAAAATCAAGACCTTGAATCTTTAAATTATTACTTGACACACATCTGATAAGTGTGAAATAATTATGTTTAATAATAACCTCTTTCTTAGTATATTTCCTTCCAAATATTGCCAAGGATTTTTCCATAAAATTGGAATGATTATTTCACACCAAGTTTTATTAACTGTAAGGCATGAATAAAAGGTTTTTTTATCATTTTCTAATTCTTTGAAAATCAAATATAGAATATCCCTATCTAATATAGGCATTTTTTATCGAAGGAGTCGAAGGAGTCTAAAATATTTTTTTTTTTTTTGATACATGTCGTACAAGAGTAGCACGACACTGCAAGTGCAGCTGCGGCAGATTTTATGGTGCTTCCGCAGATCATCAATTATATTTAAACTTTTTTGACAATATAACGCATAAGCAAATCAACCGAATGTATCGGAACATAAATAGAAATGTATATAATTTATAAATTGTAGCTTCTCGAAATGTCAATTTTTAAAAATATTAATAAATATCGGTATCGTATAAATTAGCAATATTATTATTTCTAGATGTATGTCGCAAAATAATGTACTGTAAATAGCTAACATTTTTGATTATAATTTCGATAGATTATATTCGTTTATGAATAATAACAAATTTCATTTCGATATAAATTTTATTAACCCTTATCGTCTCTCTTCTTTTATAAGAGATTATCAGCAAAAGTGTAAATTATATTTTTCGTGTTTGTTTATTATTAACGTAAATATTCTATTAATTGAGTCAATTGTTTCTAGTAGATGTATTTAAAAAAAGAACCTGTTATTCAGTTAATTTTAAACGAAAAATTACTTACAGCATATGCCACTATAAATGTGTTAAAACCTTACAGAATTGAAAAGAACAAACATTCTTATATCTGAATAATCTGATTACGTAAACAATAATCGTTGCATTAATAGATAAAAATAAATATAATTAATCCTACGAAAACATAAATAATGAAATGTTATTGTTGGAACGTACTAGATCTGAAGTATCGTGTTAAGCGTGCATAAATTTGAATTTTTTAATTTTTTTATTGCTACTAACTTTGTACAGCACAAATTAGTGGAAAAAAGAGCAATAATAAACTAAACAATTCTCGCTTGCAAATTCCGCTAAAGGGGAAGGATTAAAACAATTATATAAAATTTAGAAATAATAAAACAAATCAAACAAAAAAAATTAAAAAATAAAAAGAAACCAACCGTCAATTTACCTATTGGAAGGTCCGTTTCTTCCGAAACTAAGTCCAAATCTAAAAGAGAAAATGGAAGCATTTACTATACTAGTTTATTATTAAAAGAGCGATATGAAAGTAAATTAAATAAACCCAATTACAAATGAAGCGACTTCTGAACCTGAAAGAGACAAAAAAAAAATTATATTTTCGTTATTAATAAAATCAATAACAAAATAAATATTTGATCTGTTGCGGCAATTGCCAAATTTAACGGATTCAAATAAAAAAATTTTCAGGCCCGTAAGTGGAAAAATATGAATATTGCTTACATTCTTGAATAAAGCAGCATCTGCTTTCGTTCATTGTCGAATCAGCGATTAGGCAAATAATATGTATACATCAATAAGAACTCTATTGAAAAGTTCTGGATTACTCTAATAAATTGAATCTCCGTCATAAATGGTATCTCAGTTTAATGAGTTGTCTTCATCTACAAATTTTAATTTCATTTATGTACTTTTCTAAATTTAATTCAAGATACCCATTTGAGGAAGGTTCGTCTTGTGGAACCGTCAAGATTAGGCATTAGATACTACCATAACCGCAAAAAGTCAGGGTTAATTAAAAAGGAAAAGGTATGAATAATTTAATGATTAAAAATTTGATACGAGAAAGAAGAAAATGGTTTTTATAATTAGACAGCTCAATCCATTTGTAGGTATTATAATATTATTATAACTTAAAGAAAAGTATAGATTAGAGTTACTAGAAATGTTTTTTACTTTCTTGAATAACATCAAAAGTAGGGATATCAACGGTCGGTTCGGTTTAAAACTGCAGTTTTCAACCAAAACCGAACCGACCGCAAAACCGAACAATAAAACTGAACTACAAAACGATTGAAAACTAATGCCAAACCGATAAAATAATGCTAGAGAGTATTAATTATGATAATATTTTTTAAATTTTATGCAATTTTTTTTATAATAATAACGCTGATATGATTTTTCGGAGGAACGAACATCACATGATCAACGCGTAAATTAAGTTAATGAGAATACTATACATAAAAAGACTAGAATCATAATTTTTTATCCGGAATATATTAAAAATTTACAATTAACCGATCGGCTTTTTGATCTGTTTTTTTTATATATATATAAAACCGATGGTTAACCGGACTGAAACCCGAACCGATAACCGAACCGGTAAAAACTGGTTATGATCGGTTATAACCGAACTTTTGGCATCTAGTCAAAAGATAAAACTTGTATAATAATTTTGATATTTTATAAGAAATTTTATTATGGTTACAATTATTGATTAACGTAACGTATCACAAGATTCCAAAGAAAGAAAAACCATCAATGCCATAATGAATTATTTTCATGTGATTTGTGGATTTGCAAAATAAAATATGACCATTCAAATTTCAAAATAGTTAAGATTTACCCGATTTTTCTATTAAAACCTTCTAAAAAAAAAAAATATTATTTATTTAGACAAAATGTCTTTCGAATATCTTCAAGAAGTTTCCAATGATTTTGAAAATTTACTTGAAACAGACGAAGAGTATGACGTTATTATATATGCTGGTGAAAATGAAGCTTTAAAAGAAATACATGCACATTCACTTGTTTTACGTACAAGGTCACAATATTTTCGTACGGGATTTTCTAAGAAATGGGCTGAGAAAAAGGATGGAAAATTTATTTTTAAAAAGCCTAATATTTCTCCTAAAATTTTTAACATCATTTTAAGGTAATAAAAGTAAATTAAAGTTATAAATTGGTTATCCAATAATTAATTTTTTTTTTTTTTTTTTAAAAAAAATTATATTTAGGTTCATTTATTGCGGAAAGATTAATTTAGCTAATTTACAAGGTTCAGAAATATTAAAATTTTTAATGGCAGCGGATGAACTTAATATCCAAACTTTAATCCCTTGTATTCAAGAGTATTTAATTAATCATCGACATGAGTTTTTGCGACAGCAAAATTCTATAGAGATTCTTGAAACAATTTATCAGCATGAATCGTTCAAGGATTTATGGAATTTTTATCTTGAAAAAATTTGTGAAGAACCCGAAATATTATTTAAATCTGAAAAATTTATTAATTTAAAGGCACCTTTATTGGAATTACTTTTAAAACGGGATGATTTAAATTTAGATGAAATTATTATGTGGGATAATTTAATCAAGTGGTGTTTGGCACAACATTCAAATGTCTCGCAAGATGTTAAGAATTGGAATAAGGAAGATGTTACAATTATGGAAAGAGCTATTCATAGATTTATTCCCCTAATTAGGTTTTATGATATCTCTCCAGAAGATTTTCTTTCGAAAGTATTTCCTTATAAGGGATTGTTGCCAGATGATTTAATTAGCAATATACTTACTTTTCATATGGTACCAAATAAGCTAAATATTAATGTACAACCTTCCAGGAAACCAAAAAATATCTATGATTCAACTTTAATCAAATCTCAACATTTTGCCATTTTTGCAAGTTGGATTGAAAAGAAAAATAATTCTCATTATAATGTGAGAAATATTCCTTATTGTTTTAACTTGCTTTATCGTGCTAGTAGAGATGGTAATACACCCGCAACATTTCATAATAAGTGCGATAATAAGGGAGCTACTATTGTCGTTGTTAAGGTCAAAAATACAGAACAAATAGTTGGGGGATATAATCCTCTTTTCTGGGATTCATGTGAGTGTCATAAGTCCACAAATGATAGTTTCATATTTTCGTTTACAGATAGAACGAATTTTCAGTCTGCAAATATAGGTTATAGTAAAGGTGATGATTATTCTATACAAAATATATTAGATTATGGTCCAGTATTTGGTAGTAGTGATTTATATGATGATTCTTCGAGAAATCTTGGAACTTGGTGTGGAAATTCAAATAATTCCTATGATATAGTTCATAGTATGCCAATACATAATTTCGAGGTAGATGATTATGAAGTATTTCAAGTTGTTAAAAGATGATTAAAATTTATTCTACTTTACAATATTTTTATTTTCGATATACTTATTTATTAACAGTACGTTAATAGTATGTTAGTTTTTAATATTGTTGTATTTATGTATTATTTACGAAAACTTTGAATCTTAAAACATCTTATAATAAAGATAATAGTTTTTATTTAATTTGTCAAACTGATGACATCGAATTGAATAATTTTTTTATTACCAAACAGAATTTCATCTTTTTCCGTGATCGTTGTAATTGGGAAATTTATTTATAATTTTGACTATATTTTTCCAATTAGTTTAATTTAAATTTGAATTTAAATCCGACGTAGAATCAAAACTAGAATCTTTAAAGTCATTTTTTGATAATTGGAAGTAATTGTATTTATTCAAAAAAAAAATATTATTTGTAACTCTTGAAAACAATTTGAGTTTTGTCTGTAACTTTTTTTAAATTGATCAAATGATCAAAAAGTCATGAATGGAAATTTTCATGATTATTTTAAGTCCGAAAAAAAATGTTATCAAAATTTAAAATCTTCAAATAAAAAAAAAACATTTTTGAGTCTGAAGTACGGTATTTTGGAATTCCCAAAAATATTTAATCCTTTCACCCGAAAACTTTAACAAAAAATAAATAGAAAAAAATCATATGTCGCAATACCTAAATTAACTTTAACTAACAAGTTAATATTTTCGTCTTTAATATTTCTTATACTAATACAATTATTTTTTTTTATTTATAAAGCGATAAACTTCGTTTAAACGCGGGACTTTAGCTGATTATAAGCCAAAATCACCTGCTTAATCAAATGCTGAGCCTGTAGCGATCAATGAATAGAGTTCTCATTATAGACTCCTTTATTCTTTATAGTAAACTAGGAAAGGAAACCGTTGGAGAAGTCCGAAGCGGTATCGCAAGTAACACAAAAAAAATAAAAATACAAAAAATAAAAATTTAAAACGTATTACAGAGAAAGAAACGTATCACAAAATGTGTAAATTGCGACGGGAGTACAAAAGGAAATTAAATCAGTAAAATATGCAATAATAACAGATTTAAAAGGGAAAACGTGTCATCACAACAAGAAACTTCATTGGAGGATTACGTGTGCGGACAGACAAACCTTGCATGAAGATGTCTTCAGCTAAAGCTTCGGACAAATAATAATAGTTAAGTAAAAAATGGCTTTTTGAATACTATTACAGTCAGACCTGTCTATAATCATCACTTTCGACAAGACAAAAATCGGTGATAATAGATAGGTGTGATTATATAGTGAACTACATACAGTCATCCTCCCATATAATCACACCCTTCGGGACCATAAAAAAATGGTGTGACTATAAAAATTATATATAATGTGATTAAAGGGAAGGTTTTTTTAATAAGTTTATTAGTAACTTGGGATTAATGTAAATGTGCTTATAAGGGAGTTGTGATTATACAGGGGGTGACTATATGGGAGGACGACTGTATATAATTACAACATATAAAAAGTTTGATTACAAAAAATTCTAAAGATTAAATTGATAATTCAGGCCAGGTCTTAATAATTCTGACCAGTATCACACGACTTTCAAAAAAATTGGAAAGTATATATTACGTAAAAATGGTACTATATAAGCGTACCTTTAAAAATTTAGTAATATTTTCTAGTTGTCCGATTCTTATTTATTATTTTAAGACCTTTAAGTTCATTACATTCCTGATTATTTCCCACTATTATTATAAAAAGACTTTCATCATTTTTTACAATTAAGATAACCATGTAATACAGATAGACGCAGAAAGAATTATCTATACCCAAATTAGTAATCTTCAAGTTAGTTAACTATAATAGGTTAAAAAAATCTACATGCGTATATATATGTGCAAATGTAACATAACCTATAATTTTTGCAACATTTATTCTTATTATTCAAACAATGTCTTCAAAATTTTTGACAGAGTTATCCAATGATTACGAAAAACTTTTTGAAACAGAAATAGGATATGACGTTATTATTTATGTTGGAGAAGAGTCAAATGTAAAAGAAATTCATGCTCATTCAAATATTTTATGTATCAGGTCTCAATACTTTCGTACTGCATTTTCTAATGAATGGGGCGAGAAAAAAGATGGAAAGTTCATTTTAAGAAAACCAAATATTTCTCCTCATTTATTTAACATCATTCTCAGGTAATGTAATAATATTTATAATTAACATAGGTTTGCTCTATTTTTATTACTTATAAAATATTTAATTTTCGATTATTTGCTTATATTAAGATTTATATATTGTGGAAATATTGAATTGAAAAATTTACAAGGACCAGATGTATTGAAATTATTGATAGCTGTGGATGAACTTAATATTCATCAATTAATTTCTTATATTCAAGAATATTTGATTGAGCATCAAACTGAATTTTTACATCAAAATCCTGCCGGTATTCTCGAAACTGTTTATCAACATGAAAATTTTACAGATTTATGGAATTTTTGTTTTGAAAAAATTTGTTATGAACCTAAAATCTTATTTGATTCTGAGAAATTTATTAATTTAAAAGCTCCTTTATTGGAATTATTGCTAAAAAGAGATGATTTAAATATGAATGAAATTGAAGTTTGGGAAAGTTTATTAAAATGGTGTTTTAATCAACAAAATATGAAGAATGATCAAAGTGATCCAAAAAAATGGAGCAAAGAAGATGTTGTAAAGATTGAAAGGTCATTACACAGGTTTATTCCCTTAATTCGATTTTATGATATTAAACCTACAGATTTTTTTTACAAGGTTTATTGTTATAAAGACATCTTACCAAAGGAATTAATTCATGACCTATTAGAATTTCATATAGTTCCTAATATGCAGCCTAGAACTAATCTAGCGCCTTCAAGAAAGCCAAATTTAAAATTTAAACTTGATTCAACCTTAATTGAATCAAAACACATTCCTCTTTTCGCATCATGGATTGATAAAAAAATTTCTTCTCATTATGATAGTAAAAATATTCCCTATGAATTTAATTTATTATATCGTTCAAGTCGGGATGGATTTAATTTCGAAACATTTCATAGGAATTGTGATAACAAAGGAGCTACTATTTGGATAGCCAAAATTCAAGGATCAACACAATTAATTGGAGGTTATAACCCACTTGATTGGAATGGAAATAAAGCGAAAATTACTACAAATAGTTTTCTATTTAATTTTACAGACGGAAAAGATACTTCTAGTGCAAAATTGGGATTGGTGAATAATAATTGTGATGGAGGATATGATGCTGTTTATTGTTATAATGATCAAGGACCTAGTATGGGCGGCTTAGATTGCTATGCCAATAATAATTGGGAATATGATACCGGGAGTACTCGTTATCCTAACATAGGTATTCCAGCAAGTTTCATAGTGGAAAATTATGAAGTATTCCAAGTGATTCAATAAAATATTAAATTGATTATTCTTCTACTTTATACATGTTATATCAACTTTTCTTACAAATTTGTCTGGAAGCTTAAATAGTAAAATTATAAATTTGATTAAAACATCAAATAAATCCGACAATATTTATAATACAAATAAATTAAAAATTTTGTCAAAATTCATATATCAATTGATAATTAAAAATTATTTTCTATTAAAAAAATTATAGAATTTTGTTTATTTTCGGAAAATTTGCCACGCGTGTTTTTTATATTGATTATATGAACTTAAAAGATGTGATAAAGAACGGAACTACATCTTAAAGTATCTAAATGGAAAATCTAGTCGTTTAAATTTTATTCTGCCCAGTTCAAAGTTTAATAGAATCTCGTATTTAACATGTCATATCTCTCTAAAATATTTGATTCGATCTCATCAAAATCTTTTTTAGGATCTATTTATTGTTTTATTACATAATAAAATGCAATAATTTTTTATAATTATTTTTATTTACTTTAGAGCACACAGCATTATTATAATGGATGGATAGATTTACTATATTGACATGAATTACTTTAAAAATTTATTTAATTTTTAACTAATTCCGATATGATTTTTTTTTGCAGCTTGCTGTATTATTAATCTAAAAAAGTGTGTGCGTAGTTAGACAGAAAATCTGGTCGTAGGCACAGTAATGTTGAAATATTCAAGAATTAAGATCGATCAATAGATTTTGCGGATGTTATTATAGATGGAATAATTGATATATTATTACGTAATATGATTTTTTTAATAAAGAAACGCGTGTTACCAATAAAAATAAATAATTTACTATAATACTCTAGTAGAAGTTATTATTAATGTAATCATTTCTCATTTACCAGAAGATTTAAGGAATAATTTATACACAGATATAATAATTTCACATCAAAGATCTCTAATTAACTATATTAATTTTTGAATTTGAGTTTTAGATAGATAGATATATTTATAATGCAACTATTAGAAACGAAATCATCAATCTTTTTTAACGATAATACAAAATTTCCACATCTTAATCTCAACAATATGACTTACGTCTGGAGCCAAACACTGTTTCTCAAAACTTAAATTTCTTATCTGTAATACTATTAATGATAATGTTTTAGATATACTGTACATATATACATATTAAATCAATTAAAAAATTAGAACTTATTGCTGAAAGAGTGAATATTAACAATTACGAAATTGTTAAATTAACTCAAGCGATGATGAATTTTAAAATTCTTGAAAGTTCTTTGATTAAATATGCAAACACCATACAACATTTTAAAAAAATCCCCTTCGTTGTTAATAAATATAAAAAGATTTGACGATATAATTGGTGATATTTCGGTTTATCCAACTTTATTTAAGTTTAAATTTCAATGTATTATGTCACCTAGAATCCTTGAAATTATTTTATATAAATGGAAAAGAGGGCATTCTATTTATCAACTACAAACTAAGCTTATATTCTGGTATCGGATTGCAATTTAATAGAAAAATATAAAGCCATGGGAGTAGAGATCTATATTGGGAGTGAATTCAAGAAAAAAAGTTATAAAAATTACATGACGGTAATTCCAGTCTGTATAATAAAATTATTGGACGTGTGTTATGTAATAACGATCTGATACGGTATTTTACACCAATATCATACCATCATTAAGCACGTCATTATCTTAAAACAACTAATTTGTAGAATATATTTGTGTTGTTTTTAAAATAATACAACTACGTCATGATTTTCTTTACCGACTAAGTAGAAGTTTAGAACGTCAATCAATTATGAACTTCTAGACAATGATATTTCAAATTTAAGCCTTTTCAGTGTTTTTATTCTTTAAATATTAAATCTGGCCAGAATTTGATCATCCTCATAATTGTGCTTACGTCATTAATAAACTAATTATTGATCAGCAGTAAAACGTGACTTTATTTATCAATAATTCGATTGACATAAGGTTTACCTCTATTGTTGGAATTAATTATGTAATCTAATATCAATACAGGTTTGTATGATATTTTTTCGTCATTTTTATCTCATGCCTGATTTTTCACATGAAAATTTTCACAAGAGAATTATATTAATGGATTTATTACTTAAAAATAAAATATCTGCGGTAATACTGAATTTTGCGAACATGTAACACATATATCAGATATATCAGGTATTTAGTCTGTAAATATTTGCGGGAATAAGCCACTGGTTGTATGGGCACATGGTTCAGCATTATTTAATATTTTTTTCATGCTAAATTTACAAGTGAAAAATTCACCTATTTAATATTTTACGCAAATAAAGGATATTATTCATATAATTATATAATATATACCTGCAGTACTGTACTTAAAAAAAGATGTCTTTCGAATATTTTCAAGAAGTTGCTAATGATTATGAAAAATTACTTTATGAAAGTGATGAAAAATATGATGTTGTTATATACTCTGGCGAAAATAATAATGCAAAAGAAATATATGCACATTCATTTATTTTATGTGCAAGGTCGAAATATTTTCGTACTGGGCTTTCTACTGTTAGATGCGATGGTAAGTATGTATTTAATAAGCCCAGCATTACTCCTCAAATATTTGAAATAATTTTAAGGTAAGAAGAAAAAAAAAAAAAAAAGATTACATAAAATTTTTTATCGAAGCTAAGCAATAAAAATTTTTTTTAAAACAATTTAGATTCATTTATTGCGGAAAAATAGATTTAACGAATTTACAAGCTACTGAAGTATTAAAACTTTTAATAGCAGCGGATGAACTTAATATTCAAACCTTAATCATGTGCTTTCAGAAATATTTGATTGAACATCATTATGAATTTTTGCAGCAAAATTCTATAGAAATTCTTGGAGTGGTTTATCAGCATGAATCATTTATAGAATTATGGAATTTTTACCTTGACAGAATTTGCGAAGATCCTCTGTTATTATTTAATTCAAATAAGTTCATCAATCTGAACGCAAATTTTTTGGAATTGCTTTTAAAACGAGATGATTTAAATTCAGATGAAATTATCATCTGGGATAGTTTAATGAAGTGGTGTTTGGCTCAACATTCAAATATTCCACAAAATGTTAGGGATTGGAATAATGAAGATTTTAAAATTATGGGGAGTATCATTAATAGGTTTATTCCTCTAATAAGATTTCATGACATCTCTCCAGAAGATTTCATTTCAAAAGTATTTCCTTATAAAAACTTGATGCAAGACGATTTAGTTACCCGAATATTTACATTTCATATGGTTCCAAGTTCGTTTATTAATTTACAACGTCCTAGAAAATCAAAATATGTATTTGATTCAACCTTAATTGAATCTAAACATTTTTCTCTTTTTTCTAGTTGGATTGAAAAGAAAAATAATGTTCATTATAGTCCAACGAATAATCCTTATAGTTATAATTTAATTTACCGCGCTAGTAGGGATGGTAATACACCCGTAGCATTTCATAGTAAATGTGATAATAAAGGAGCTACAATAGTTGTTGTTAAAGTTAACAAATCAAATCAAATCATAGGGGGATATAATCCTCTTCAATGGGATTCAAGTAATAAATATAACCCTACAAGTGATAGTTTTATATTTTCTTTTAAAAACAGTGTAGAAGTAGGTTATAGTAATAATAATCAATTTTCTATAGGTTGTTGTTCAGCTTATGGTCCAATGTTTGGTGGTGGGTTTGATTTATATTTTAATAATGATGGTTGGCGAAGCAATAAAAGTGATTATAGTTCTTATCCTAAAATTGATGTACCGGGATATTTTAAAGCAGATGATTATGAGGTTTTTCAAGTCATTAGGAAGTGTTTTTAATATTTGATTGTATTAGATGACCAATTTCTCTATAAAATTGATGACAATATAGAGTCAACATTAATAGAAAGATATTTATTAACATTTTTGTAATATTTTTATTTTTCTACAATTTATATTATTTTATTTATTTTATCTATCTATAAACTTCAAAGATGTTAAAAATTTCACAAGTATGTTCATAACAATTTCTCTAATTTTATATTTTCTAATAAATTAAGATATTAATAAATCTGATATTATTATACTCAAATCTTATTCGATTAAGATCAATTATCAGCATAAGTTATTTTTTATTGTTTATGTTTCAATAATAAATTTAATTTTTTACATAATCATATGAACATTGGCACATTGGCTGAGCTATTATTTGTGGCTCGGTGGCAAAGTATATCCGAAACCTGGCGCAATTAATTAATAAAAGTAAATATTAAAATATTAAAATATCTGATATGGTCAGATAAAGGTCTTATAAATAAAAATCATTAGATTAGATAGTAAATTAATATTAATTCTTTCATATAAAAATTGAAGAGATGTAAATAATTTCATTATCAATAAATATCTGTTATTATAAATAAATTTTTTTTTTTTTTTTTTTTAATAATTACTAATAAAAAAGAGAAATATTAAAGAAAGTATTAATTATATAACAAATAAATTTCTTTTTGGCCGAATAAGTTTTTTTTTTTTTTTTTTTAGGCTTATTTATTGACTTCAGTCTTCACTGCCATGATTATATAATTTAAATCATATGATATTAACTCATCTTTTTTTTTTATAAATAAGCCCAGATTTCAATCTACATTTTATCAAAGATTATTTAATGATTAAATTTCATTTTTTTAAAAATTCATATTACTTAATTATTATATAATATTTTCCCAAAATTCTTTATTAAAATAAACTTCTAAAAATTCAAAACAAAATTTAAAACTCATTAATATACATTATTTAGATTTTTAAACATTAATAACTCAATTCATACCAACATTACACTGGAGGTCGACCTAGACATATTCTTTTAAAATATGTAATAACTTAAATGTGTATTCTTTATATTATTACAATATTATTTTGACAAAATTGTTATTTTCATATAAAATGGAAAAAAATATGACAAAAGTATGCATGTCCTAATTCTTATAGATTATGCTTAAAGCAATATTACTTATTTGAAAAATATTTAATGCTTATTAGTACAATAATAATTATAAAAGAGAATATACTAAATATAATATTTTAAGATTAGCAATTAACATCATCAAAGATCATACTTTAGCACCATTTGAAAAAAAGCAACATTGAAGAGTATAAATACAGAGTAACAATTTAATAATTTAATATCATTTAGAAATTTTGATGTTTTGGATCTCATGATCTGAATGATGAATATAGAGCAGTTTTGCTAAGGTTACCTATTGAGCTATTATGATCACCTGACAGTGCACACATGAGGTTTTTATATAGAATAATAAATGGTTTATAGATCAATGATATTAGAGTAATGCATAGTATTTTACTTTTTGTATACTTCTATAGTTAACTTTAATAAATCTATAAATGTGCTGTGGAAAAAAGAAGAGAACCATGACTATAAGTTGGAAAGGAAAAGAGGCTAGAGTTCCTGTTGAATGTCAGTTAGTATCAGATGCAAAACAAATAGAAGAAGTTGAAAAAGAAAGTTCAAAAGAAGAAGTAGAGAAAGAAATAGAGATTTTGATGTTTAATTAAATAAAATTGCTAGGATTCTATAATGCTGAATGCTTTTCAATTTTATTCTGAAGCTATATATAAACTTGACTTAATATTATACACATGGAATTTCTTCAATGACCTAAAGTTTCTCATATTTGTTATAAGATCACTCCATGATACTGTATTATTATTGGAAAAAAGATTAGCTAATTTAAGCAATTGTTATCTTGGGATGCCCACACATATATATAGTGCTTGAAGCACCTGAAAGAATCAAGTCAATAGAAATAAGAACAGTTTTACAAGTTGACAGATTAGCTTGTATTGTAGTTTCCATAAATATGGAATAATATAGAAATATATAGAAATATAAGAAATTTTAGTAAAATAATATCAGATCATTAGAGGAAGCAATATAGAAACATTGCACATGGGTTCAGGATGGAAATGGGACTCATTTTGGAAATATATTAAAAGTCTAAATAATGGAAACAACACTCATTAAGTGCTCTAATAATTTACTACCAACTATAGATAATCTCAGAATTCATAATGACAAATATGACCAAATTTCCTGCTCACTATATCTCAGTCATAATAAAGATGAAAGTAAAAAAAAAAACTACCAAGAAACTTTAACCAAGAGTTATTGTATTTCAATGATTATACTATTGTATTGTGATAAAAATTTATAAATATTATAAAAAAAGATGAATGTAAATATTTAGCAATTTGTTAGAAATTAACATAAAATTTATTCACATCATATTATTAATTTAGCAAAGTTTTTAAGTTTTCATTATGATAGAGAAGAAATTCTTTGCATGGAATTATTTAAAAATAGATACTCTCCTATATTGGCATTGTATATTTATGTTAGCTAAGTTTATCAAAACTATAATATTTAGATATGATGATGAATTTCATGAAAGTATAAAATACTATGATAAAGATTTTCCAGTTTTTGGGTCTTAAATACCTTGAAACTAAATTTTTTATGACATTAATAATATTGAACTTGAAAAACTAATGCTTTTACATGGGAAATTGAATGATACAATAGAAATTCGTAACTATTACATATTTAAATAATAGAACCATTGATGACAGTAGGGAAACTTTTAACATGTATTAATTAATATGTTAAGAAGAGCATTAGAAATTTGTTTACTTCTTTAAGTCAAAATTAAATTAGAAACTACAGTAAGTGGATGTAGAAACAAAAATGGACGAAAGATTAGCAATAGATCTGTGTCATATTTTTAATTATTATGGCACAGTTTTAGAAATTGTCTAAATGTAGAGTATACAGAGGATAATATACTAGTCAGTAGTTGATCAAAGGAGGTTATTTCACTACTTCTTTGGTGAATTTATTATGTTCCCTTCTATACATTATTGAGAAAAAACAAGTAGAATAAGTGGATGTAGAAATAGGAAAAGACAACAGAGTAAATGGACGCAGAAACAGTAGAGGGGGAAAGATTGTCAATAGATCTGTGTCATATGTGTGATTATTATGGCACAGTTTTAGAAATTGTCTAAATGTAGAGTGTACAGAGGAGAATATACTAGCCAGTAGTTGATCAAAGGAGATTATTTTGCTATTTCTTTGGTGAATTTATTATGTCCCCTTCTATGCATTATTGAGAAAAAAGTGGACACAGAAGTGGGAAACAGATGTATTTCTCAAAGACATAAGACTGAAGGAATAAATGAATTCTTGGATAGAAGGTGTTTATCATGGAAGAATTTTATGCAAAACACTAAAAAAATACATGATACAAAATATGTGCCAGAAGGAAATACATCATGGCTTTGCAAATTATGTATTAAATATTTAGTCTAAAATTAGATGTAAAAACTCGTTGGAACTCAACATATTACAGGCCAAATAAATAGAAAGAATAATGAATTGTATATTCAAAATTTGAAGCTTATATAAATTAAGCATATGACAGATAATGAAAGTATTACCAATAATAATATTAAATTATATTCATTTAAATCATTCAGGTAGAATATGATGAAAGTGTTAACATAATTTATGTAAAAGTAGAAATTATATAAAAGAAGGGCTTTGCATCAGCATTGGAGTCACCATCATTTTTATACTTTGTTGTTGACCGACGTCGATTAACAGCATCTTTTAATATCAATATTATTTCTTTTACTAATATTTACAATCCTAAATGGTCTTTGATGTAAATATAATACAAGCAAATGTCAACTTAGATAAAGTTAAATGGGTCAAAACTTTGGAAAGACTTAGTCTGTAGATTTTATTAAAGCTAGATATGAAGGAATACTTATTACATTTTATAGTCTAATTATTATTTGAAAATTTTTATGACAGTATAAAACTGTTTGGTGTTAAATCATTATGATAGTATTCAAATAGCATAATTTTTAATGTTTTAGGATAAAATTCACCTTTAGGATGAATCAATTAAATGTTATTCCTTCATGCAATTAATGTTAATTTACCCTGTAATAGATGTTGCAACTTTACAAATTTTATTGCAATACTCAAAGTCCTGATTTTTGTATTTGTAAGGTATTTAATGTTTATAACAATCTGTATTAAATATTTTGTGATTGGAAATTTGAAAGAGAATTTATTAAAATACATTATGTAATACAAGACAGATAATGTGTTTTTTTGATTCCCAGTAAATAGTTTTTGTATAAATTTGTATCAAATGGGCTCATCCATATATAATTGGCTCTAGATTGGCTTAAATTTGGATTATTTTTTGCATAAATTTGAGCTAATTTCGAGCCAATGAGCCCGTTTGGCATAAATTTATACAAAAACTATTTACTGGGATTCCTATCGATTTCATCGATGCTAATACAATATTTGAGGCAAAAGATCTTAGAGTATGATAATTACATATATTTAAATTTAGAAATCACATTGTTGGAATAAATATCTTACATGATAAATTCACAATGATACGAGAATTATGAGATGACGAAATGATATCATTTTAAATATTTTAAATAATGATTAGAGAGGTTAATTTCAATTCTTTTTTTTTTAGTTTGTACATAAAATTTTAAAGTTTAGTTTAATACCCTAAGGTATACGTCTTTACTATACTATATCATCTTTTATACTTATACTTTAATTTAATATTGTATCTCCATATTTTTATAATTTAATTCCTTTAACAAAATCGGCAAAGAAAATAAAATATAAATTAATTTTAGAGAAAGCACTTTTTATAATGTTTCTACTATCAGGTTTGTTTTTTTGAATTTCTTTTTTAAGTTTAATTAAAAAAAAGCATCAAAATATTCTTGTATGTGATCTTCTTACCTTTTTCTTTCCTTTGACAGTAAAAAAAAATGTAGTTTTAAAATTACAAAAAGATATCCTTTATTGAAAGAAAATGATGACAATTTTTTTTTTTTGCGCGCTCAGTTAGCTGAAATATCAAATTAAATAACTTACTCTCACCATGGAAGAATTTATGCAATAATTTATGTGTCCTCAAATTTCGTATTGTGAATAAAAAATATTTTTAAATTCGTAAATTTCCTTATATCTAACCTACGAATTTAACCGTCTAAAAGTCTTTAAAGAAAAAAAAATGCCATTAGCTACAATCGCTAATGATTTCCAAATTGAGCGAGAAAATCATACCATTTGTTCATGTGAAACGTTGATTGACATTCTAATTATTATGGGAGCTCCTAACCTTAAATAGTTCAAATTACTATACTAAATTACGATTACGAAAAATTGCTTGAAGCTGACGAAGAATATGACGTTATTATATATGCTGGTGAAAATGAAAGTGTAAAAGAAATATATGCATATTCTCTAATTATACGTACGAGGTCACAATATTTCCGTACAGAATTTTCTAAGAAATGGCCCGAAAAAAAAGATGGGAAATTTATTTTCAAAAAACCCAACATTCCTCCTCAATTATTTATAATATCTTTAAGGTAAAAAATAAAAATAATAAAAATATACATAGGTAGTAATTTAAGTACTGTAACTAAATTTGTAGAATTAATAAATATTTTTGTTTTTAGATTTATTTATTGTGGAAAGATAGATTTGACGAATTTACTAGGTTTTGAAGTATTAAAGCTCTTGAATGGCAGTGGATGAGCTTAATATCCAATCACGGCCATTAATTCCTTGCATTCAGGAATACTATTAAACACCATCGTGAATTTTTTCAACAAAATTCTATAGAAATTCTTAAAACGATTTATAAATTTTATTTAAGAGCGATGCATGATAATCATCGCATGATCAGCATGAATCATTTACTGAATTTTGGAATGTTTACCTTGATAGAATCTGTGAAGAACCTCTTATGTTATTTAATTCTGACAAATTTATCAAGTTAAATGCACTTTTACTGGAATTTCTTTTAAATCGGGATGATTTAAATTTGGATGAGATTATTGTCTGGAATAATTTAATCAAGTGGTGTTTGGCACAACATTCAAATATCCCGCAAGATGTTAAGAAGTGGAATAAGGAAGATGTTACATTATAGAAAGAGCTATTCATAGATTTATTCCTCTAATTAGATTTTATGATATTTCTTCAGAAGATCTATTTCTAAAGGATTTCCTTATAAAGAACTTATTGTTACAAGATTATTTGATTAGCAATATATTTATGTTCCATATGGTACCAAATAAAAGAAACAAACATTAATACAAAACTTTCTAGGAAACTAAAAAATATCCATAATTCATATGATTCAACTTTAATTGAACGTCAACATTTTGCTATTTTTGCTAATTGGAAAGATAAGAAAGAAATTCGCATTATAATATAAGGAATATTTCTAATTTTAATTTGCTTTATCGTGCTAGTAGAGATATTATAATATGTAAAAATTATTGTTTACCTTTAGACTTTCGAATAATTCTTTATGAATGGATTTAGCATACTCATACAGTCATACTGTATATTCTTCTTTTGCATAAGAAAGTTTGTTTGCAAGATTTGCAATCTAATAATAAAAGTATAATTAAATAATAGATAATAAGGAATATTTATTCTTACACAAACCAAAGTATAACTTGGATGAGTTCCAGGTATTCCTTCTATTAACATATAATACTTTTTTATAACAAATTATTTATAATTTATGACTTTTAAAAATTATATGCAAATACTATGTAAATTTATGGCCAGTTCTATGGACTTATAAAAGGTTTCACACCTGATACCCACATGATAAAATGTAAAATTTGAAAAAACCATCATTGATAAATATAGTTAGTTCTTTGTTACATTATAAATACACTACGCTTAAATAATCAAGTAAATGGTGGAATTTCTTGCATCACAGGGTACTTAAATACTTCAGTAGAATTTACGTAATACAAACATTTTTAATTATAATAATAATTTCAATCATTAATTTATTTTAATAAACAGAATAAATAATTATTATAAATAAAAAATTAAATAATTTTTTTTTGGATTAATAATACAATTTTTAAAAAAAGAAGTACAATTATTTATGTTGTTATATATTTTTTTTAATAATGTTATCATTTATTCAAGAAATTTGTTTATTGCATATTGTCAACTTTACAATCTTCTTAGAATAAATAATATGAAATATAAAATATGTGAGTACTGTACTATTGAACCAAAAAATATGAATGATTGGGTTGACATGGTGACAGAACATTTTGCTTAATCTGAAAATATATAAAGACGCCCTTCAGAAAAGCAAAATAGTCGCAGCATTTCAGTGATACACAACTGTAGAATGAATCTTCAGACTGCAAAAGTAGTTTATAGTACAGGTGATAATTATTCTGTACAAAATTTATCATCTTATGGACCAATATTTGGTATTAGCGGCTTATTTATAGGTATTGATTCTTGGTACGATGGTTCGCCATCATTTTATCCTAAAATAGATAATGTACCAATAGGAAGAATTTTATCAGACGATTGTGAAGTATTTCACGTTATTAGGAAATGATATAAATTATATTTTTTATAAAAACAAATTATTAAGAAAAAATTGTTTGCTTATCAACAATCTATGATTTGTTAGTAGCTTATTCATTATTAAATATACCCTATAAAAAAAATTCTGGAAAAAACTCCGATAAATGATCATTTTTCTAGTTTTTATTCCGAAGAAACTCAGACACGTGATCATTTTTCTGAAAAATTTTTTATAGGGATAGATTTGCTTCATTTCATTATAATGAACGCGAATATAGTTATCAAATTTAACAAGTATGAAGAAGGATATGACAATTAAATGGTTAAGGGTATTATTTGTATTCGTTATACACATCCGTCAGTTTGAAATAATTAATACTATATAATTATTTAGTGAGAATTATTTTATATTAAGATATAATTTTCCCATTATTCAAACAATTCCAACATACTACAAATTGATTTTAAAATAATTATACGTAATTATTCTATAAAATCAAATTGGAACCAAATATTTGGATTTCTTTAATTCAAAATAAACTTATATATATTATATTATTTAAGATTATGTTAAAAAAAAATTTTAAAGTTTTAAAAAATCATTTTTCTAATTATCTAGGTTTCAATTTAATAGTAAACTTCTTTTCTTCAAAATCTGCGTGTAGCTTAGCCTCAAATGAACTCATATAATCCGTTCCTAAAATATTTAAATAAGAAAAAATACTTGTTGCAGGGGATATACCCGCTGTGATTGGCCTTTTATTTAATATGATATCATGATGTGTTTCATTAGAAACAGTTATATTATATGCATTTAATAATTCGGCAGAAATGTAAGTTCGAGGAGAACCTGTATCAATAAGAAAGTATGCATTCTTGGTTTTCCCACTTATTGTTGCTTTCATTAATCCAAAAAATCGGTTAGCGCGTCCATATAAAAACCCATTAATTTCATCTAATTCTTGATCTGAGTGGTTATAAAGTTCTGAAAGTTTTTCATGCCAATTTTCTTTGATATCTGAAAAATCATGCGTTATTAGATCCTCTATGGCAGAAATATCCAATTTTTTATAATAATCTAGAGTGCAAACTAAGAATTAAAGTTACAAAATAAAATCAGTTAAAAAAAATAAGAAAATAAACAAATATATGTATTATCATCTTACTAGTTTTAATGCCAACTATTGCTGGTTTTTTGTAATTATAGTACGGTACATTATATGCTTTAACTAAAGACAATAACCTCATTTTTGCTAAATAGTAATTTTAATCAATTACAAGGTCTTTTATACTGAACGCTGTGGCTAGTAAATTTTTATGGAAATGACTAATTATTAATATTTTAGTATTACTAATCCAAATGAAACTTTTTATTATAATACAATTTGTATTTAATAATATTGCATAAAATAAGAGCTCATATTATTAAAAATAAATATTTATATTATTTATTTCTTCATATTTTAATTAGTTTCCTGTCAATAAAATCTAAGTTTTTTTTTTTTATTTAATTAGCAGGCTCAAGAGAGTTGCCACAATAAATTTCTGTGGGTAAGTTTGCCATGGGACCGCTAGAAGTCCAGGTATTTGAGTTTCCTCAAAATCGAGGACATCTTCATTTGTATTATTATTTTTATTGACGTTTTCTTCGTTAGTCATTTCTTGAAGATGTCAACAAGAGCGAACTGCAACAAGTTAAAAATGGCCTAAAGAGGCTTGTGTGGGAATTGTAGTAATTGTTCGGAATTGACCTGGTCATTTAAGGATTTACCTAATCATTTTCATTATTCATAATCTGTTATTTAGTCATTTTAGGTAACACTAACCTCAAATGACTCAGGTCATTTGTCATTTGAGAAGTGGAATAACCCATCATTTGTAATTATTTGTCACTTCAAGTTATTTGTCTGGATAGAGAATTTATGATGTATTTTTTTTATTTGAGTATAATCTACTGAATACTGATGGTGTTTATTTTTACAAAATGGATCTATATTAGCTGAATCACTTATTTGTAACACATATAGGTGTTCCAAAAAATTGCTTATAATTTAGAAATTTTGTCATAAAATTCAGATCACATAAATTTAAAATTCACTTAACAGCAATCATGTGATCAGTTCTTGTTGAGATTAATGATTATTTGAAGTTGATAGTGGATATAGTACTATTATCTATGTCTGGTAAAGACTAAAGACAAGAATACACAAGAGATTCTACACATACTCTTATTTCATGCATTATAAAATAAGATGGAGAGTTCATTCTCAAGAAATCTAACGATTATCCTCAAATATTTAAAATTATTTTGAAGTAATAAATAAATGAAATTGACAAAACAAATATAATATTCATTTTGTTTAAGCGAGTAAATTTAACAGAATCACTTAGATATATTTATTACAGAAAGTTGATTGAACAAATCCAGAATTATTAGATCCCTCATTGCAGTGATTAATACGGTGTACCGTTTGAACGAAAAGTGCCAAAATTTCGAAAAATTGATTTTTCGATTTTTGAATTTTCAAAATCTCCTTATAAGGAGATTCTCCTTATAAGGAAAATCTCCTTTTATGGCAATGTAACGTTACACAAATGTCCAAATAAGGAAGTTAGTGTTACCAAATTTCCTTTTTTGGACGTTTTGTGTAACGTAGATCTATCCTATAAAAGGAAAATTTCCTTATAAGGCGATTTTAAAAGTTCAAAATTTCAAAATTTCGAAATTTCAAAA